TTGTATTACATATTGATATCTTCAAAGTGGTTTCTCATGAAAACAAATAGAGACATGCAATATTGATCAATCAAGGACTCACTAAGAGTTTCTTTCAGCAAAGAAATAGAAGACAGTAGATCAACTATGTTAACTATCCTGTATATACATACATACAAAATTTCTCCCTCTTTCCCTTCTCTTTTTATATAGTCTTTGATACCTCTAAGGACTTTGCATTTACTCTTCCTTGAAATTTCCAAAGGATGTTAATTGGGAAAGTTGAAACATTTTACACAGTCCAGTAAATCAAGTTCTCTGGAAACCTGAGTAGTATTTTTATGGCTCACCATCAATTGGCAGAGTTTCCTGAAGATTTGAGAATTCCTCTTCTGTGTCTCCAACCTCCATGCTTCCTAGAATGTTTTCAAGACCACTGATGTCAATTTGTTTACCTTTGAAAAGACACAAATGTTAACTATTTAAGAAAACACATTTATTCACACTTAAAAGGCATGACATACAAATTAAAATTTAATGTTTACATAATGTTTATCTTTATAAACTCAGGGAGAGAGACATACTCTTCATTGTTAGCCCCAAGCACACTAAAACAAGCACCTTAATTTCTATGTTTACCCCCTTATTTTCTTCTTTATTCCTTTTTAGGGCATTTCTGTTCTTATCCCCTAGAATTAAGCCTTTTAGTGGACGCAGAGAACAAAGATGGGCTTTTGAGTTTTGAAGTCAATATTTTTGACTAATCAGGCAAATTGATTCCTTGCTTAAATAACCATCAATAATTCAGGTAGATTGAAGACACAAATGTGAAAGGCAAACTGTAAAACTTTTAGAAGAAAACATGGAATATCTTTATGACCTCATAGTAGGGACATACAGAAATAAAGTCTTAAGAGAAATTTCCATAAATTTGAAGAACACTTGTGTGTTGTAATGAAAGAGCAGACACACACCAAAATTGATGAAATGTATTTTAAACACTTAGAGCAGGAGGTGAGTATCTAGAACAAAGGGTCAGCTGCTCACTGGTGACACTTGGCTGTTGGAGAAGATTCCCAGTGCCACTGTTTGTAATAGCATGAACTGTCTCAAATGTTCATGAGAATGGGTAAAAACTGTGGAATTTTTTATCATGAAATACTACATGACAGTAAAAATTTGAAGGTATAAGCAGCAATACAGATGAACATCACAAGAAATAATATGCAAAATCATCAAGTAACAGATAGAGCATGTACTTAAAATCTTCTATTTTATAAACTAGAACTGAGTGAATGTATTTTTTTATTGTTTTGTTCATACTTTAGCAATAATATACTTCTCACACATAAAGTATTTTATAGCTTAAAATGATATTCAAAATGAAAAATTTGAGTGAGGGGAACTCAATTTCAAGACAGTACTCAGTTCTATCATGGCGGACTAGAACCAGCAGTGCTCACAAGAAGCTCAAAGAGGCTTGTCAGGATCTACAGATACATAAAAATGGAGGGAGCAAAAAATAAACTCAGGAAGGCAAAGTGAAGGAAAAGCCCACCAAATGAATCCCAGTATAAAAGGTGGTCAGAGGCAGAAGCAGGGCCACTCTCACACCCTTACAGCAATAAGTCTGGTGAACACACAGTCTTGGGAAAGTGTCTGTCTTGGTTACTTTTCTCTCGTTGCTGAGACAAAATACCTGATGCCCAAAATTAAGGAAGGAAAGGTTTATTTAGCTCACAGTTTGTGAAGGTTTCAGTCCATATTTGGCTGGCTCCAAGGCAGAGTGGCACATGGCAGAGGGCAACCATTAAGCAACAAGAGCAAAAGGGAGGAGTGGCAGAGAAGAGCAAGCCTCTCTCCCTCCCTTGTATTGTAAGCAGGCTGCCCCCACCCAGGGGGCGTGTAGCACTCACACCATCTCCAGGCCCTCCTCTTGCACAGGCTCAGGATGAATACAGAGTGAGGACCCTGGCTCCCTGCTGAGTCACACAGTTAGCCTTCTAAACTTCTCAAATTGACACAATGAACAACATCCCAGGAGGGTAGGGGCGTGTCCTTTTCACCCCAAGATGCAGAACTGCTGAGTCACTTAGCCCAACCTCTAGACTCCCCAAGTTGACACAATGTATCAACCATAACAGTGTCTAACTCACTTGTTCTAGTTCTCTTTCCATTGGGAAATGGAGCCGAGTGAGTGAGCTATTCACAGGAGAGAACCTCCTCAAATGAGGGTGCTGAGAAAAGCATGGGCCAGAGAATCACTGAGATCATGGTGACTGGTGAGTTATAGGGACTGAAAGAAACAAGGTCATAGTCCTGAACAGATACCCAGAAAAAACCATTGACAATCTGTGGAATGGTGCATCAGAGGGTGAACAATACCCATGACTGCTGGGTCTGGGTGAAGAAAAGATGCTGGAGCAGGGTCAGAGTGGGCATTCTCGCACCACCCCCTCAGTGCCACCAAGATCTCTCCTTGTGAGGTATTCCACCAGCTCCCTACCCTCCACATGCTGCAGGGTTTGACACCTGAGAGGGACCCATCCCACCACCCACCAAAACCTGCTCATCTCCATGCTTGTGTGAGATCTCTTATTGCCTCCTGAATGCTACTTAATTCCAAGTGGAAGGGCCTTCTTCCTCCAAGCACAAAACACACCAGAAGTTTTGGGCTAGATAGAGACTCTGAAAGGAGCAAAGAGAGTTTGGAAAGAAGGGAAAGCTGAGGATAAGCAGCAGGATCAGAAGTGGCTGCATGCTGCATTTACTGGAAGAACAGAAATAAGTAGCTACAGGGATTATCATGAAGGGAAACAGAGAGAGGGGAAACCGCTCCCGAGATCATTGGACCATGGGGTGTCTGACCAGTCCTGTTATGCCCTCTCTCCCCATGCATTGCAGGTGTACAATCATAAGACAAAGACAAGAATATCTGGTTAGTCATTGTCACAGAAGTACAGGTGAGAACTAACAGAGATCTGCCTGCAGAGGGAACAAGAGACAGGCTCAGGCGGTCAGGCCATATCCCAATCCTCTTCACTTGCCGGTAGCAAAAGAACAAATCATTAGAGGATAACCCACCTAAGCACTGGCTGAAACTAACTTTTTTTGTTTTGTTTTTACTGCCTTGAGTTCAACTCCTGTTACTGGAGTAAATGCTCATGATCATGTATTTGGCAATGATTTCCTAAATATGACATCTAGGCACAATCAAAGCAAAAATAAATTGGACTTAATGAAATGAAAACTTTACTGCTCCAAAGAACACTACTAAAAAATAAAAGGAAACTCCACTGAATGGGAGAAAATATCTGTAAATCTCTTCTGATAATAGCTTAATATCTAGAATACTTCAAAAAACTCCTAAAGCTTAATAAAAAAGACAAATAATCCAATAAAAACAAACAATGGTTGTATATATATAATTTTTCTGAAAAAGATATATAAGTGCTAATAAACACTTAAAAATATTCAACTCTACTAGCTCTCAGGGAAATACAGATTAAAACTACAGCTAGATACTACTTCACCTACCAATATGGCTAGAATAAAAACAAAAACAAACATAAAAAAAGAAAAATAGCTAAATGTTGGTGAGGGTGAGGAAAAACTGTAAACCTCATACATGGATTGTGCAAATGTAAGATGGTGCAATGTGTAAAACAAAAAACAAAATGCCCACTGATGGTTAAAAAACTATAAATAAACTGTAGTATATTCATACAAGGACATGTTGCATAGCCTTGAAGAAATATAATTATGGGGGCAGCAAGTACACAGATAAATCTTAGGAATTTATGTTGAGGAAATAAGTGAGAAGATTTGCAACATATAATAAAATAATATTTTTTAAAACTCAGAAAACAATACATTAAAATATTGTTGAGTGTATATACAAAGTGTGATTCAAAATGTGTTTAAATTAAAATTCTTTTTACTGTAAAAGACGCATTGCTATTAATCTTCTCAACACTCCCCCACCTACCATACTTCCCACCATTCATGTCACTTTCTGAAGCAGTTCTGAAAGTCCTCTTTTGTGAGTGTCTTTAGGTGCATTGTTATGGCTCCCCGATGTCCTGAATCAATTCAAAATGTTTACCTTTCATGGTCATTTTGACTTGTAGGAAACTCCAGGTTGCATAGTGCCAGATCCAGGTAAAGTGGATGGGGACACACCTTAATGTTTTTATGAGCCTTTCTTCTGGGTGACCCTTGGCAGCAGTATTCACTCGATTTTTTTAATCACACCATGTAAAAACACTCGTGAAAGTGGACTTCCAGAACTGCTTCAGAAAGTGTCAAGAACAATGTGTTCAGTGTGCTTGAAGTGAGGGGGATAATTTGAAGGAGGTTAATGCCAGTATGTCTTTTACATAATACATTTAAAAAATGTAAACATTAACAGTATTTTTGATTACCTTTTGTAGGTGGTAGAACATTTTTCAAAGCAAGGGGATTATGAACATAAAGGTCAGCAAAGGGACTGCCATGCAGGGGATGAGATGAGAGATTATATTATAATAATAATATTGAAACACTTACGCTGCTTTGGAGAATCAAAAATGCATGGCTTTTTCTTTATTAGTATTTCATAACATATATGCAAATTATATAAAACAATTTTATAAATCTAAGTACTGTATTTCAAAATATAATATGGGAATAATTGTCACCCCCAAAATACAGGCTGTTGAAAATAAATGGATACTTTTATAGAAATATATTCTGAAAAGAATACATATCTCACACAAGATGCAGTTATCAGTGACAACTATGAAATGAAATGAAAGTTCAGTAAAATAAGCAGTTTCATATAAGTACTTTTAGTTAAGGAATTATCCCAGGCTGATATCCATTTGCTTTACTTATTTATATGGAATTATTTCACAATTTGATGCAGTTAAGTATCTCCATTCTAGTCAGAGAAAGTTCAAGCCCAGAAACACAGCCCTTAGGTCAGAGTCTGGCCCAACACACAGGAATCTGGAAGCTGAATAGAAGTACTGTGCCAGGCACACTGGCTTGAGTCCTCATTGCCCTTGACCTGACAACGGGTGCCAGTTTCCGTTGTGGCAGCCTTTTTTTGCTTCCTTGTATAATGGCAATTGCCTGGATGAAGGGAGACTAGTAGCAGTGGAAATTATTATTTGAATGGACAGTTTGTGGCATTTAAATCATTCCTCATGCTTAGAACTTTTTCCTTCTTATTGCCATTCTTTGTATATATTTTTTTCCACAACATTGTTTCATTGTATTTTCACTCTCTTGTTTTGTTTCCTCCAACTTTTCCCAATATGGTCACGGGCCTGACAAACTCCGATCCCAATTCAGAATTAAAGTGGAATACATTGCATTATGAATTGATGAAAATAACATGAGACAAAATTCATTATCTTCTTTTATACTTAAAAAATCCCCAGTTTTGCCTAAGAAACATTTAGTGGGTTGTGTAACTGACCCTTGTACAAAAATCCCAGATATTCCTAGAAATTTAAAAATATCTTAAATGCTTACCATCAATGGGCAGGCTGTATTTCCGATCTTCAATTTCTTCTTCTGTGAGCTTCCATTCCATATTTTTCAAAGATGAATCAACTTTAGTGACATTAGTAATTTCTACTTGGAAAAATAAGAGGAATATGAGTAAAATTATGGGGCTCCCCAAAAGCTCTTTTTTATTAATGTATTTTATGTTAGTACATATTTGTGGTACACAATGATTACATTTGTCATGGGAAGTTTGTGCAAACTAAAAGATCACCAGTTTCAAAAGCCAAGTCCAGTCTCCAAATACAAGGATGGACAACTGTGGAATTAAAAACTGAATTGCCCTTTTTGTTGGATTGTGGGACTAAGTTTATAAACCACAAACTTTAGAAAAGGTTGAGTCATTAACAATTCCTAGTAATGGAAAAACTAATTTAATCTCCTCATTAATAGGTATGTTCAATTTTGTTTATAAGACTAATTATCTCAAAGCCTTACTAAGTTACCTGAATTTTCTTTTCTTTTCTGCCAAATGGGAAATGTAAAAAATCCATTGTGGGAGGATTTTGGTAACAAATATTATCTACATTGAAATATGTAAATGGCATTCAAAATGTAGGTAAATTGGTAAGGTTCATAACTTAATATCAAAGGAATAGTGTACATGTATCTCTTGGATTTATCTTGCTTTTCAGTGCACTCTTCACTTACCATTAAGAGAATCCAAATCATCCAGTAACATGTTCCTGTAGACTTTTCCATTACCTATGAGACATATAAATCAGTTCACACAAAAATGAGTCATGTGGAGGTTCACCAAGGAAGCAAAAGTCATAATTTAAGGAAAAGATTTTTAATTTTCCCTGGAAAATTTTCAATTTACTTTTAAGTGAAAAATGAGATGCAATCAATGTATCAACTTCATTCAATTTTTGGCATCTAAAATATAAAGGGTGGCAATCTATAACACCACAACACATCTCATTTTTAAACTCCCTGGAAGTTCCCTAATTTCTTTTTTCCACTGTTTAACCTAATATCCGTTTAACCTTTAGAATTCCCTCATTTTGGAATTTTGGACTATGAAAGGTATTTCTTTTTTTTTTTTTTCAGTATTTTATACTTTATTTCTGGCATAAATGTTCTGATGAAGAGAAGTCCTTGTTACCCTCTTCATCAGGGTGGACTCGCTGATGAACTGTAAGACTTGAGCTCCAGCTGAAGCCTTTCCCACATTCTTCACATTTGTATGGGTTTTCTCCAGTGTGAACTCGCTGATGGGCCTAAAGGTGTGAGCTCCAACTAAAGACCCTCCAACGTTCCTCACATATGTATGCTTTCTCCCCAGTGTGGACTCCCTGGTGGGCCTGTGATAGGATCTCTGCCCGAAGCTCTTTCCACACACATCGCACCGGTATGGTTTTTCTCCCGTGTGAACGCCACGATGAGCAAGAAAATTTGAGGCCTGATAGAAGCTCTTCCCACACTCCTCACATTGATATGGTTTCTCTCCATTGTGGCATCTTTGATGGGCCTGAAGTTGCGATCCCACACTGTACACACTGATACGGTTTCTCTCCTGTGTGGACTCTCTCATGTACTTCAAGACTTGAGAACTGACTGAAAGCCCTACCACACTTCTCACATTTATAGGGTTTCTCTCCTGTGTAGATTCTAAAATGAACATTAAGATTTGAACTCTGACTGAAGCCCTTCCCACATGGACCACATTTGTACGGTTTTTCTCCAGTGTGGCCTCTCTGATGGACTAGAAGATCTGAGGCCTGGCTAAAACCCTTACCACACTCCTCACATTTATAGGGTTTTTCTCCTGTACGGATTCTAAAATGAATGTTGAAATCTGAGCTCCGGCTGAATGCCTTACCACAAGTATCACATTGGTATGGTTTCTCCCCAGTGTGGCCTCTCTGATGGTCCAGAAGACAGAAGCCCTTCCCACACTCCTCACATTTGCATGATTTCTTGTGGTTTCAGTGTGGCTTATCTGATGGGTTTGAAGGTGTGAACCTACACGGAAGCCTTTCCCACACTCTTCACATTTGTAGGGTTTCTCTCCTGTGTGGATTCTGCAATGAATGCTGAGGTATGAGCTATAACTAAAGCCCTTGTCACGGACACTGCAGTTGTATGGTTTCTCCCCAGTGTGGATTCACTGATGGGCCTGTAATAGTGGATGCCAACTGAAGCACTTTCCACACTCTTCACATTTATAAGGTTTCTTTCCAGTGTTGATCCTCCAGTGAACTTGAAGATATGAGATCTGACTGAAGCTCAGCCCCCACTCCTTACATTTATAGTGTTTCTCTCCTGGCTAGACTATCAGAGGAGCCTGGCAATGTGAGATTTCCTGGTATTCTTCCCACTCTCCTCATATTTGTATGGATTCCCTCCTGTCGGGAGTCTCTGCTGGCATTGGAACTGTGATATTTGACTGAAACATTTGGATGATAAATCAGGTTTGTATGATTTCTCTCTACTATGCACTCTCTGATGAGCTTGAGGACTTGAAAATCGTCAGAAAGTGTTATCACATTTTTCACATTCGTAGGGCTTTTCTCCTGCATGGGCCTTCTGGTTAACTTGAAGATCAGAGTCCCAAGCAAAGCCTTACTTATTTGTCTCCCCTTTGTAAAGTTCTTTACCACCATGGACTCCGTGGTGAACCTGAAGATGTGAATTCTGATTAAAGTGTTTACTGAAATCCCCATCTCCATAGGATACATCATCTAGTTTTTTCAACTGAGAGCCAGTTTCTTGAATATTCACGATAGACTCTTGACACCTGGTTAACTCCCTGCTAACTTGTTGCCAGACTTGTGAGCCGAAAGGCTCTTCACTTCATGTGACAGGCACCTTGAGCCTACTTCTTGAAGAGTCTCCATCTCATTGTCTCCTGAGGTGCCACCACTCTGGGTTGGCATCTTCTTCCTCCAGAGCTTTTCATCTCTCTCTCACTGAGGTAGAATATCTGGGGTGATGACCTGATGCTCCACGGACAGCACGTTCCTGAAGTTCTCCAGCATCACATCCCGGTACAGCTTCCTCTGGGCAGAGTCCAGCAGCCCCAGCTCCTCCTCGCTGAAGCCCATAGCCACATCCCTGAAGGTCACTGTCTCCTTGAACTTGGTCATTCTGCCCTCCCCCTTCTGGGAAATGGGTGGGTCTGTTATGCTAGTGCCGCGCCAGTCCTGTGACCTTGGTCCAACCACCTAAACCTCTGTGCCTATCCTTAGCTGACATTTTAGGAAGTTCTCAGCCACTGAAGATGACAAATGCCGCACCCATTGAGCAGGTGAGGTTGAGGGGCAGGAGTAATCCCTGAATCCAGCTCTCATGCCAGCATCAGTATTCTGAATCTTGTCTGTCTCTTTGTTGTTTTTTCTTTTCTTTTCTTTTCTTTTCTTTTTTCTTTTCTTTTCTTTTCTTTTTTCTTTTCTTTCCTTTTCCTTTCTTTTCT